CGGCCAAGAGGCAGCAGCAGCAGCAGCCTCGCACTGTGCGCCTGGAACCTCCGCGGATTGTGAAACGAGTTCAATTCATCACACCTCCCAACCCAAGCCGTCCGCCCCAACCTCTGTGATTTTTCCGTCCGCGCGCGTTCCACGTGCGCGCGCTGCACACGTGACGCTGCGTTCGAGTCGTCGCCCGATCGTGCAAGATCTTGTTAGCCTCATCAATAAAAGGGGGGCGTCGGGGGGGGGGCATTTCGCATGACCCTATACGATGACCAATGGGGTTAATCGATCGAATGGATCGCTTGCAAATGAACCGACGCGATAGTTGACCCTCGATGAATCAGAACTCGTCAGAATCAGAATCTTTATTTAGACTGGAGGAATCCTATGAGCTATGCAGCGCTTTGTCACAGATTGTCCAGTAGGGGCGGGTCTAACATGGCTGTCGAAGCCGTGACTGCGGTCACAATCGTCAAAGCCGAAGTTGATTGTTCCTTCACTAAACACAAATAAAATACACAATAACATGATTTTAAAATAAACAATAAATATCCAAATAACATAATAAAACAATAAAAGCATGTTATTTCCCTTTAATACTGAGGAGTGAGGTCAACGGTGATGACGATGACATTGCTGATGATGATGAAGTAATGGGGGAGGTGGTTGTTAGAAGGAAGAGGCGTTTTGCCCATCCTCTGGGTTGCACGCTTAGGGGCCACGTTTTAGGGCACAATGAATGCAAATAAACAATAACTAAAGGTCAAGAAACGCGGAATAATACGTAGCTGTACGACAACGTGCACGCACTACAACAGTCGCTATGCGAGAGAGAGAGAGAGATATGGAAGAGAGTGGTGGCGGGAGCTGGGAGATGAGACGATGCACGGAGGGGGTACAGATGCGGGGTGATCTGAAATCACAAGTGCCGGTCGCCGTGCTAAACCGCGGATACACAAAACTCCACACCGTGATTAGCAAATTGGTATGCCGAAGGAAAACCGTGGATACATAAATATCGCGGATGCTAAATGCGCCGTTTGTGAGAGATTGCCGTATATAAAGGCGACGTTTGTGGGTCAATGGGCCTTCTTCATTGTTGTGCAGAAGGTCCATTACCTGAAACGTCCCATATTGCCATATTCTCTATATTTTAAGAAACCTCAGAGAGTTTGACGCACCCCAAACTTGTGGCCGTTGGCAATTAAACAACGCAAATTCGGTCTCGCACACACACGCACACAGCGACCGGATTATCAGCAGCACGCCCAACTTTGACTTTAAAATCCAGGGGGTCGGTGGGGCGGTGTGTTTTATCATTCGGAAGGGCGGTGTTATCGATTAATGCGTTAAGTTATTGTTATCGGTCTATGGGGCCGTCCATAAATGACGTCACGCACCTGGGGGGGGGGAGGTCAAACATTTGTGACGATGTGTGACAAGGGGGGGGGGGGGTTGAGAAATGTGACGTCACATGAAAATGCGCAACTTAAAATAAACATAGACAACACGTTCTACTTAATAATAGGGTTTTTCCCCTTTTTTTCTGGCAACAAAACTGAAACCTTTTTACAAGGTTTCATGTCTGCATTAACCACAATACCTGCAGTCAAAATGCAAACAAAAAACTGCATTTTGCCTGCAGGTATTGTGGTTAATGCAGACATGAATCCTTGTAAAAAGGTTTCAGTTTTGTTGCCGGAAAAAAAGGGGAAAAACCCTATTATTACATTTTGGTACTGGCAAAGGAGGTCTAATGATGTACGTTCTACTTAATTAAATATACGTTTTAATAAATGTTTTCTCCTACAACATCAGAGTGCAGCGCCACATTGAATACGCACTACAATAACACTAGTTTAAAGCGATTTGAAGCATGTTTTTTTTTGGGGGGGGGGCAGAGTTTTGTGACGTAATATTTGAGGGGGGCTCTGACTTTTTGTGACGCCGTGTGACGAAGGGGGGGGGGTCAAAAATCGTCCAAAATCGCGTGACGTCATTTATGGACGGCCCCTATGGGGATAGCGTGAGGCACAGTGCAGCACGGAGGGGCTTGTTGCGTGCCCCAGTCGCCCCCTGTCCCCCACCGGCCCTGGAAACTAACGGGGGCTCCTTTGCTTCTCTCGCGATGCATAGCCGTGCCCGGTATAGGGGCCCGCTGCGGCATCTGGTTTTCATTTAGAGGAGTCTGCAAAGCGGAGTCTGCAAGCGTGGCTTCGTGAAATTAACTTTCGCTCCAATGCCGAGTTCAAAGAGAACGATCTTTGTGGGAGGATGAACTCGAAGACCCACTTAAGAGTGTGGTCGTAAAAAATATTGTGGGTTCCTTTAAGTGTCTTCGTTGCCTTTAAATAGACGTTCATCTAAGCTCGTCTGTAGATTCAGCCAACTGTGATTCATCGATGGGCGTATTCTAAAGGCTGGGCAGGCTCAGGTGACTTTATTCACACATTTAACTTTCTTACTATATCCCCATGTCATATTTTGGGTATTCCTCAAATACTTAGCATCTTACATACAAAGCTTCATGTTGATCAGTTAACAAGCATCCCTTTGGTGGAGTCATCCCCAATTTAAGACCAGAATGCGTCTCCTGCTGACAAAGCCAAATATTCACATCTCCTTTAACTCGTTCGGCTTGATTCATCCACTTAAGCCAATTTGTTCATTAACTTTAACTCAGCACACCTACGATTTGACAATACTTTCAACTGCTAAAGTATTTCGTTCATCCTCGACGAGAGAGAACGACTCAAAGGAACCAGACAAGAGGGGAGCCATGCGGCGAGCTGGCACCAACAGTTGCCCAAGCTCTGCGGTCCTCTAATATATTAAGATATTTTCAGCCAACTAATGAGTGTTAACATTGTGTAGTCACCTAAAATATGGGTGGCGTGATGATGTAGGGAATGGTGCATTGCGACATGAACTCGGCGGCCTAGATTTGATTTCCGGCCACGGATAACATTAGTGGTGATATTTAAACAAGTTGCGGCCATGCTCTTCACCAACCCGCACTGACCAGCGTGGTGAAGTATGATTAAATAACCACCACGAGTCGCAACGATGGGCCAACGTTGGCGCGTGGTTGGCAACTTTTGACGAACGTTGGCCCAACGTTCCATTCGCCAATGGAGGGATTAATAATAAATGATATGTACGTGTACAAGTACCGAAGATGCAAATTCAAGAAACGCTCCGCATACCACCACAGCTCTTACCGTGTATGTGCCTTCCTGGACTGTGTCCAGCACAAGTGCGACGTTTCACGAATGAGAGGGAAAAAAATATGTTAAACGTTTTACCAAGCTCGTTATTATGTTTTTGTAAATACCGCTTAGACGAGAGCGGGTTGGCGTACTTTGTGAAGATGAACTTGACAATGAAAGGTAAACTTCCTCATGTTTACAAACAATACAGTTGCTTAATAAGTGTCTAGCATTTACCTGCAGTGACATATGGTTCAAGTCGTGGTAGTTACGACCAAGTGATGTTAGGATGAGCTCGACCAAGTGCGGGTGAGAAGAGAGGGAATTGTAATGACGGTACTTTTCATCGGCACCAGTAGCGATGGGTCTACGAAAGGTAACATGTTTACAGTACTGCATATCGATCACTCATTTTTCATGAAAATTCTCATGGAAAGTTGATTTTTTTTAAACGAGAGAATTGTATTTTAGGTTTTTTTCTTATCTTTTTTCAGGAAAAATCTATGTCAATATAAAAAACACAGACTTTCGTGGAATAACATTCTACTTAATAATGAATGAGCACAACAACCAATAATTAAAAGGCAGGAAAAGGCCGTTGTTGCAGGGTTAATATAAACTCAACACAAATTTTTCGTCACTTTGTCGGATACCTCTTTAAAAAAGAACGACCAATTAAGGCACAACTAACAACCGTATGTAAACTGTTCAGAATATATGAACGTTACACCTTTCTACAGTCTAAACACTTGTCAACGATGTTTGGAATATATAATTGAAAGGACCACATGATCAGTGTTGCGATCATATCGGAGGGATCAATATCGACCTCAAAACATCAATGCATCGGAACTAAAATATCGATGTTACCGATGTTTTTCTGCCAGTGCGTAGATTATTTGGCCGTTATAAATGTCCACACGATAAGCCACTTCGTTGAGCTATCGTTTGTGGCCAGGTCGCTTCTGTAAATGAGCTGCATAGCTCAGTGGGCCTTGCCTGGTAAAATTAAAATAATAAATCTTGACTTAAAGCTTTCGTGACTGCAGGAATTCATATTCTAGTGGTTTTTGTTCATTTCATTATTTTTTTTAACCTAACTACGTGACTTTTTCCTGAAAGACCCAAAGAACATAAAAATCATAATAATCTTAGTGTCATATTCTTGGTTCTCTCGGTAAAGTCACGTAGAAGGGAAACAATAAAATAATAAAAATATAAAACAATTAAATTCTCACGACGTTTCGACTGTAACACAAGCAATCATCAGCATCCATTATTTTCGTCTCCCCTCTCTTCTTTTCCGAACATACATGGTCTCGTCCATCTGAATAATCGCTGTCCGTGGTGCTAACGTTAAAAAACGCCACTTTTTTCAAATGTTCTTGCTGTGGTTTTCACACCTGATGATGATTGCTTGTGTTGCAGTCGAAACGTCGTGAGAATTGTATTGTTTTATATTTTTATTATTTTATTGACTTTACCGAAAGAACCAAGAATATGAATCCCTGCAGTCACGAAAGCTTCAAAATCAAAATCTTATGTTTCGTTCGAATAAATCGCACGTGGCAAAACCGCGTGACGTCACTCCATAATACGCCACGCGCGGGGTACGTCACGACGCCTTTATATACGTCATCACGTTGCACGCAACCAACGCGGTGACGCGCACAACGCGATGTTTGTCCAATCGGAGTCGGGCGATGGCGTCTGGCGGACTGCTATGAACCGTCGCTGTGTGGGGCCGAGCTGAGTTCACCGCCACGCAGGGCGCCTCGTAAACCCGACAAGGTGCTCGCGTTCGCGGCCGCGATTGATGAGTTCCAAATTATCCCCTCGAGTGGCGCGTACGAACTTCAACCGCGGGCGCGAGGAACGGCGGCTCGCCGCAAGGCCTAGTTACGACCGCGAGCCTCGGTCTCGCCTGAGCCGCCTACCAAATTCCGGGGGGGCGGCGCGGCCCCGTGGGGCGGAGGGTAGCGAGCCCATTCCCCTGTTTCAAATTGGCCGCCTTTTCGCGGCTGCTGAATGAGTCCAATTGTTTTAGTTTCTTAATTGTAGTAACACACCAATGAATCACCCTAATTCGGGACCGAAACCTCATCTGGAGAGTTGAATGAAGTCGGTAATTCCTCAACGAGTCTCGACACGATTTCAATGAGGGTTTTGAATTGGGTTGTTTGGTTGCTTCGGATGAGATTTATTTCATGTACAAAACAACTGAAGTACGTGAAGACAACTTGGTGCGCATACGAGATAACGCGCAAACGTTTGCAGACACATCATTACAAACACACGCCTAGTCGCAAGACGTCATTCTAAAGCACTGCGTGACTAAAACGTGAATATTAATCCATGCTCAATTACTTTTGCTGTTGTCTTCACATTTCTTTGTCGCTTTGTTTAAGACTTATATTTGAGAAGTCTGCATCCGATAAAAAATGTTAGAGACCTGACTGATCAATCAGTCTCATCGTCACGCTTTCCTATATCGCATCTGGTTGGTAACGCCCCCCTCCCATCACTGATGTTGATTTTTGAAATCTGGCTCAGGTCCGTCAAAGCTGAGCACTGTGCAATGCTAGTTTTCATATTACAATAATGGTTTGGATGTTTGTTTTAATGTTTTGTCGTTTCTTTTTTGTTCTGCACTGGTTTTCAGATCTACCGATCTTAATTGGCCTATACCCAAGAAAATGTCAAAAATGTCCAATGTTCGAGTTAAGGTGGAAAAAGGTGAGTCTCATCGTCCAATTCATTGTATAAACGCGTAAGGGCGTATTACACATTTGCATATTAAATGAGCTTATGATGGCTTTTGATAGTGTATTTTTTTGACCTTTCAGACGGGGAGCCTTCAGCTGCACGAAACAAGCTGGATGCAGTGCTGCAGTTCCTTGTAGAGAAAAATGACCAGGAAAGGTAATTTGGACACTTCACTGGTGTGTATGTGTAAAATAACTGCATTGAGATTTGAAATCATGTTTCTTGAACAATTGTAATGTAGCATAATGTGCAAATTTAAAGAGTGGGGTGGAGTGGTGGCGCAGAATTTAGCACACTGCGCTATGAACTGAGTGATCTGATTTCAATTCTTCAGCCATTGGTTGGAAAAAGGCTGAACATCGTATGATGTCAGGAGTATGAACTGAGAGATAGAGGTTCCAATGGTTTTCATGTTGGGTGCAAAGTTTATCATTGTGGTTATATTTAAATATAATTACTTCACCCTAAGTGCTGGAACATTACTGAGATTAAACTGTTTGCAGAGAACAAGAAGAAGGTGAACATAGACTGGGTCAGAATGAATTCAACACCAAGTAAGATTTTATGTGAAAATAGTTTTACATTGTTACACGAGCACACATTCCAAGCATAGTTAATGGTATTCACGGATATGCTTTGGTGTTGTACATTTTCCCTGTGGGATTGCTTATAAACGAATAACTATGTAATTACACTAATATTGAATCTCTTCTGCTTTTACAGGGACACGTCACCTACTGGCATCAAACGGTGAGTAAGCAAAACATTATTTGAGAACGTTTTATCAGTTATCTTTGAGATGTTCTGACATTATTTACGATTTATTTTGACTATGGTACCTTTTATGCATTTAAAATAAACAGAAGCACAAGATTCCCCCATCAAAAACGGAAGAGGAGAAAGGATATGGATGATTTCATTTCAGAAAACAGCCATCCAAAACAGAGTATGTTTCTTTTTACTATATTATAATACAATTTCATAATACATCTTTAAAAAATGTGCAAAACAGTTATGTTACTCGGTTGACTGCAGTTTTCTTCACATACACTCATTTGTCTTGTGTCGTTTTTCTTCTGGACAACAGACACGTACGTGATGAAGTTGTTTGACCGGAGTGTGGACCTTGCTCGGTTCAACGAGACGACGCCCCTCTATCCCATCTGCCGTGCGTGGATGAGCAACAACCCCGGGCACAAGGATGATGGCACTGGCCTCACCACCATCACCGATTCCACCGAAAACGACAATACAGGCGTGCGTTACTTTTATTCCATATACATTGTGAATTGCTAATTGCAGGGTATATGATTCTGCAAGGAAGAATGGAAGGTAAGAGGGGAAGAGGAAGACATTTGACCATTTGGGAAAGTGTGGGAAGTTCAATAGGACTATCTGTTAGCCTGATATTGTAAAATAAGGAATACACCTTTCATGGACAATTCCTCAGTTATGAGAATGATGTTTAATTGTATTAAAAAATGGTCAAGTGTTATAAAATTAGGTAAAAATTATACTCAATTTACACAATCACTGTGTGATAGTTAAATGCATAACATGTTTCTTAATTCAAAGATTGCTGAATTGTATTTGTGTAGTGGTTTTGTGTTGTGTGTTTTTCTGTTTGAACTAATTAGTACGTTTGCTGCACCTGGAAGATCAGGTGACAGAATTCCTGAACGGGGAATGTGTGGAAGTGTTACGACTGCCTCCACCCACTCCAGCACCAACAAATGAAAATGGAATTCACATCAACTTACGCATCCCTTCCCCCATTCCTCAACCGGATGAACACCTTAACATCCGCATGGTGTGTGCGCACAGCTCTTTTAACGGGCCATGTCAGTATGGTCACATCAACATAGGAACATGTTTATGCTTCCTCCTACAGATTTACAAAATCTCTCACGTGAACACATTTACAGTGTCCAGAAGCCACATAATTATATAATCCCGACTAACTTCGTTTCTAACTCTTAAAATCATCGATTAGGTTATTCATTCTAAATATGCGAATTTTGCTTTTGAGTAGATATTTCCAGACGATGTGTTTGGCATGGTAAATGAACGGTTACAAAGTTAATCAAATTAATCCCCGTCCATGTTGGTAAAGCCAGATTATGGTGTCAGCACATTTCTAATAATGCAGTTGCCAAACATTGTGTCTTTGGAACCAGGGTGGGTTAAAAACACGTGAGCAGAAGCAGTGGATGCGGGATAGGGAAGTTGTGATTGTTATAAATATTCTCGTGTTGCTTCAAACCCTATTTTGTGCACTCAGCCGGAAGAAATGGCACCACCAAATCCCATTCTGCTGTACAACCACATGGAACGATGGAAGAAGATCCGGCAAAAGTGAGTGCAGCCCGTGGAATTTGTGTTTCAGAAATTGGTCAAATTATAAGTGGTTCAACTTTTTGTTTGGCCACTGTCATAGAAGTTTTTTTTTTTATATGTGTATAAACTTGGCTTACAGACTTTTATCCTGCTTTTATACCATGGGACCCACAATCGTTTTCAACTCTTCTTGATTTCGTTTCAGGTGGAGAGTGGCCTCCCACCACAACCAGATGCGTTATGCGGAAAGCATGAAGATACTAAAAGAGATGTTTGACCGACAATGATGATTCTTTTAATTGTAAATTGCATTATTGCATTTTATACATCTACAATCAACTGTATAAAAATGTCTTTATATACATGCTAATGTATACATCTGCTTCTGTAACATATTTTTCATGTAATATTATTTTTTTGAATGTTAAGTTGACCCAAATAAACCATTTACATTTTTCTTACTTGTACTAGTCTGTGTTTGTAAACTACAAAACATCTGATTAGCGTGGCTGGCTACGTACGGTGCGATAGAAGCTCAACATACATGTGGAGAAACATGAGTTAAAGAACGACTCAATGAAGGAGTTAACGAACATATAAATGAGTTAACGAACGACTCATGAACAACTGAATTAGAACCAACAATTGAAGGAGAACGACTTGAGTTGATAAACTATTCGAGTTAACGAGTGCGTGCGTTAAACCAACGGCTGAATAAACGAGTTAACGAACGACTCAACCCGCACCTCCGATGAGCACGGTTGGCTACGTACGGCGCGAAAGAAGTTGAACATACGCACGTGAACGACTGAGTGAATCAGCTGTTACACACCCACCCGGGGCCCACAATGCATCGCGCTTGGGCAACATGGCTGCGCCCAGCCGCCAGGGCGCTTCACGTGTCCCTCCCTGCGCACTCTTCCACTCGGCCGTGGGAACCGTCTTGAAGGCTTGGCCGGTCTTGCAGGTACTCGTGTCACATTGAGGGAGCCATCGCCCCCGTCAGTTTTCATTGTAGGTTGGCTTGTGGGCTTCGCGCGTGCGTTCGGGCCTAGCAGAGACCGGCCGACCCTCCGCCGTCGCATAGTTTTTCTGCTGAATTCAAGCCGCCCCTGGCGGTAGAGCCGCAATGGTCGCAACCTAGTTAGCCGGTCGACTCAACGCACCCTTATAATTACACTTAGCCACACATTTTACATAGTCTCAGGTACGTAAAGTAAAAGACGAGATTGGTTTAAGGAAACGTCTATTTTGTGTTTCAAATCCTGTCTTGCCACCGATACACTTCACCCGTTTTAAGTGAGTAAGTCAACGAGTGAAAATATCTTGTTCATAGGATTGGCCAGGAATCCACATTCAGAAACCGCCCCGAGACTGATTTAGATTTTGCAGAGTAAATGCATACATGGCATAACATGTGTAAGTCTGGGTTTAATACGTGTCACTGTGTGTGCACCTTAATACGAGCGTCTCCTTTCCCCTCTGCCCAGTAACCTAAGCCCGCCCCTCCTCACCCACCCTCCTGCAATAATACTAAGGAAAGTCCTGTTGATGCTAACGTCTTCCTCCTGTTCGTATATGGTCTTGGAGGTAATGCTGGACTTCTTTCCCACCGTAATTAGCCAACCGTGCTAATCGGAGGGATTGGAATTCAGCCTCGTTTAATTAATTTAATATATAGTGTTCAGTCGGAACCACGTGCAAAATAGGACGGTTTCGAGTACATCGTTGGGTTCGTCGTTAGCATAAACCATTGTCAATCTACTGCTAGATGAATATTTCCCATAGCCGTCGACATCAATCCCAACCTTGTCGGATTGTAGACAAGAGTGGAGGGAGATACATTGGCAAATCGTTTCACCAATGAGATGTGGGAAACGTTTCAATTATATTGGGATAATAATCAGTTATGGATGAGTGGGATTGAGACGGCATTTTCGGTTAAGGAGTTAGTCAAATTTCCGTGTGGTGTAAATAAAATAAGTACTGGCGGCTTTTTCTATTGATTCGCTGGTCCATGTCATAGGAATGTGAAATTCCTCACCACTGGCTTGAAGGCTGTAAAACAAATCAACACTGCTCCATGCTTATCAAACAGGGAGACACGTAACCTATTGCTTGTGCTTTTGGCCATCACCACTCTCCCTTGCAGATAGCGGTGGAGAATGGGTTCGGAGGCGTGTACAGTCAGCAGAAAGCTGAGTGGATGGTGGGTGTTGTGGAGTCGTTCTTCTACGAAAACGGTACGGAGTTGACTTCATTGTTTGTGTGGCACTGTTCTTTCTGGAGTTATGTATCAAGCAGCATGTTCATCCTGCGATGGAATGCACGAGGGTTTGGTACACATACATGTCATATCCCCTTAGTCAATATACTGCAGAAAGAGGGCCTCCCCGTGCCGTGTCGGACATGGGAGTTGTTTGACCAAGATTCACCACGCTGGTTAGAGTCGGTGAAGGGCCCAGGACTGGTTGAGGTATTGCTTGCCATTGATTTTAGCTGGGAATTGAACTCGGATTGAATTGGCGCAGTGCGTGAACTACTGAGCCACTGTTATCCTCAATCACGATAATAATGATGGTGCCCATTAATTACCCAGGAAAGTATAACTGAATCTCACTTTTTATGAGTGTGTCCTCTTTTGGCATATATTATCACCTCCATTTAAGGAGTGTTTTGTACGTATTACAGCTGAAACAATGCGAACTATCCTTAAATCCCCACGTCTCTTTTCACCCAGAGCTGGGGAGTCGGTAGATCATCAGTAAGGGTGGTGTGGGTACTGTCACTTTTTACAAGACGTCTAGTCATCTGGGTAGAGTAGGCCCAATACCCCCTAGAGGCATTCTGTAGAGATCCCCCTGTAGTGGGAAGACCTTTCCGCGAGCAACAACTTGAGCCCGACAAAGTCGGGGTTTTGTACTTCCCAAAAATTGTGGAACAGGTGGAGGCTTGAGAAACTCGCACCAACTGGGCTGTGAAATGGCCAGGATATGATAGTACGATATTAATCGATGAACTACTATATGCTGGAAGACATGAAGATTAATGTTTCATTCTGCAGGCAACTTGGAGTCCTTCGAGGTGGAAGACTTCCTGACGGATATCGTCAACAATGAGTTTGACACAGTCATCGAAGATGACAGCTTACCACAGGTACCATGGATGATGCCCGAGCAATCCCTTAGCCTATTTGAAAGCACTTTATGTTACAATTCATTATAGATGTAACCTGGAGTTCTGTGTAAAATTCAGTTTAAAGAGACAGGTGTTTGAACTCGTAGCAATTTCTATCATGCCGTATTGGTTAGAGTTGGAACGTAACCAGAAAATACATTTCAGGCCTTGCTTAGGATGATTGGAATTTCATTTCAGGATTGGATAAACAAGGCAATTCCTTTTAGATCATGTAAACAAAGTGTTTTGTATATGTAATGAGGAAAAGGAGATTGAGGTGGGTGGTTGTCCCTACTGGACATCTGTGAAAAGGAGCTTTATAGCTCATAGGATTCCTCCAGTATAAGTAAATATTCCGATTCTAACGTGTGTGGTATGGAGGAGTGCAGGCTATTAAAATAGTCATTGCGGTGGGCATGTAGTTGTAGATAATCAGTGTCAAAGACATATCCAGATGGTAGGGATGCTGTAAGAACGCACTTTTAATCATGGAGTCCAGTGGTAGGTAGCGATTGCAGGTTGCTATGGCATCAACCTCATCGGCCACGAAGACCCCTGGATATTTCCTTTGTACGTAGGACGTTAAACAATGAGCGCTTGCTGTTGTCTGGGCGTGCACGCGCAGGTGTCACGACAGCTCTGCACACTGTTTGGCCTCTGCACCGGCGGGCGTGCGAGTGAAGCGACGCAGTTTATGGAGACGCTGAGCCAGAAGAGCTTCAACCACAAGCTGAACGTGACTCGCGTCGGAGACAGTGACGACGACGACGACGACAATGACGATTCTGGTGGAACCAATGACGAGGTGATCATGCGGCATGTTTTTAATATCAGCTGCTGGTACTTATGGCCAATTATAATAATATTTTTAAAAAATGATATCGTGTCATTCATGCCAACGTCATCCCACAGTTGGTTATGTTTGATCCCCTCGCATTTTTTTTATCAAAACACGTTGAAATACGTGATTTTTATCTATAAATCTGAGGCTCCTTCAATTTGGTGAATCTTAGAGGTTATTGTTGATTGTTGTTTAAAAAAATTGCATTTATTTGTTAAAATTGTGCTATCGCCATCGCGTCCTGAAATGTCACACAGAGATTGGCTGTGGAAGAGATTTTGCCTAGCACTGCTCCGGCGGCTACCCTTTCATCCGATGAGATTGTCACATGACGGCAAATACAGTATTTATTAAATTCTCAGAAATTAAATTTAGCCAAATCAAATACACAGTCATATTGATGGATTTTTTTTCTATGCAGTAACTCATGACCAGGGGCTGTGACCCTCAACTCTTAAGGGTCCGTTGCTTTGCAAACTAACACCTTTGCATCTTGCCCTTACTCAACTCTTTCTTTTAACTCCCAACTCTGCTTTCTCAGGCCATGGACTGCGCAGAAGCGGCGCAGCCGCCGCCGTCGTCCGGAGAGGTAGCGCAGCCGAGCGTGCCGAGCTCCACCGAGAGCCAGCGCAGAGCAGAGCCGGGCGAGGACGGCTGGACAACGGTCCAGCGGAGACGGAGATAGCACGAGCGCTCATCCCCGCCTCCGTGTTTTACTTCATGTGTTCAGAATCACAATCGGAATATTTATTTGTACTGGAGGAATCCGATTAGCTATAATTATCTTTTTTCACGGGGACGGGTCAGAACGTGACCGCAAAACACAATACAAAAACACGATAGGAGTGCAAAGGAAAGGTAAACAAATCATTGAATAAATACAATTAAAAACGAATTAATTTTTTATCTTCAAAGGTAAAGCCCTTTAAGCTATTAGCTTTTTCAGAAGTGACCTGGCTGAACGAAGCGGTTTATCATGTTGACATTTATAGCAGTAAAAAACAAAAAAAAATCTTTTTTTCGTTTGACTGATTTAGATGCAAAACAACAATTGCAATTGCGCATCCATGTGGCCAAGCCAGATAACCGTGTAATAAGTTAAAATTATCTAGAGGCATGTTTCTTAATTTTGGAGGGAAAAATTGGAGGGCCCGGACAAGAAATCCACACAACCATGGGAAGAACATGCAAACTCCAAATATCCAGACGCCGTGGTTTGGTTTGAACCCCCGACCTGCACACCAGGCGAGGAATATAACATCACACCACCGTGGCACCCCTTACATAAATATATAAAGTATATAGTTCCAATTACATTAGTACATGAATTTCCAAGCTTGAGCGAGTGCAAATGTATGTACAGTACTTATGTTGAACTTGTTTTGCACCTTACATAGTCAACCGTGCAAATCGGAGTGTGCGGGCGAAGGACGACAAGCTGAACACAAGACGCATTTCTAAAGAAATTAGTTTTCAATTTAGATTTAAAAGTGCATGCCTCCAGTGGCTTCCAGATGTCAGAAGGAAGTGCGTTCCAGACGGCCGCTGAAGCGCTTTTCAAAGCACGCGATGCAGTGGGCTCCGAGCACAGTGTGCTGCGGTTCCATTTCATTGCACACACGAAGCTGCAGCTATAAATCCTACGGAGTGTTTCCCGCGTGCCCAAACGGTGGTAGGCGGAACTTTGTTTTGTTATTCATGGTTAATTTGCGGTACTCTTGCAATCCCTGCCGCATGTTAATTTGGATGTGGTGTGCGGCGTTTAAAAATCTGTTGCACACGTGTGCAATAGGGGGCGCTTCTGCCATTTGAGTGGACTGTTTTTCAAGCCCACCACGATGGTGGCGCACATCGTGCAAGTGTAATGCATTAGTCCTAAATCTTGCGCGTTCATTAAAAGTGCGTCGTGCTATTGGATGGGCTCACGGTTTGTATTCCCGCGCGGCCCATGGAGACGTAAGTTAGGGTTACGCGGCATTCGCGGCGCCGTACATTCGGCGCGATTGTCATTAGCCTTATTGGCAACGCGAGTCACAGGACAGGGCTCGCGCGTCGATGTTTGCTGCGGTTATTTACGACGTATTGTAGGAGTGTTACCAAAAACGTGACTCGCGCAAATTAACGTTGCGTTAAAAGTGCAGCCCAGCCATTGGGACGATATATAACGCGTGTTTTTGTGGTGCATTAACGTGCGCACTGAGTAAATTCCAGCAGAGTTGCAATTTACTTTGTGAACAAACAAACCGAACGCAACCGCGACAGCCAGCTTTATTTATTTACGTGCATTTTCACTTTGATTTTTTTTTTTAAGCCACGCGTGCACAAGTCGAGGAGTCGTAAGGCACGTGTGACCTTGGTGTGTTGAGCTGATGGATAGATCCACACCCAATCCTGTCCCACCCACCAAAGCCCCAGCGCCCTCCCGAGGGCACGGCTAAGTGATTGATGGACCGCTAGCATCGGCGGCGTGCCACTCGCGACCTCGTCTATCCATCACGAACCGGGCCGAACAGGAGGCCAGTTTTCGCCATCGCCGCTACACACTCGCTTGCCAACGTCTCTCTGCAGAGGCTTGTGACGCGGCGGCAAGTTTGGGCTCGAGGTCCCTGGCAAACCGGCGGCCTGGACCACGCAAAGTGGAGACCGCGTGCCAGCAGCTGTGCGCTTCCATAAAGAACATTTCATTAATATGATAATGGACGTGCCTGTGTTTGCGGGGATTGTGTACAATTGGTTTATGGCGAGCGTAAAACATTGCTCTTGCTAGTGTTTAGTATCGAAAGGTATTCATGCAATATCTGGTGTACTAAAGTTATTACTCATAAGCCTACGTGTTAAACAAAGTTATTACTCCCCACGTTCATATATTTTTTACTACCGTTTTTGTTTTGCCGAGTCTCCTTTGCAAACTGGATATTTTCATTACACTTCCTCCACTGGGTTTTATAAAATAAATAAATTTGATTTATTTGAAGTACGTTTTTGATTTGTTTATAATTTTGATATCTAACATAAAAAAAACAGCTGCTGCTGCTTAGTACAAATGGAGGCAGCAGGAGCCACTGCACACGTTAAATGTTTCTGAGAAATCGTTTCGACTGCCAGGCTGTGCTACAAATCCCAAGCGCTTGCCATCAGGCCTTCCTGCCCCAGTTCGTCCTGGCAACTTGTTAAACCAGTGGATAAATGCATTTCAAAAGGTGCGATTGACAAAGCAATACGATGCGTAGATATAGAGCATTCACATTTCATTAGAATATTGCCATGCCACCCTGTCAGGTGATACCCGGGGGGGGGGGGAGTTGCGAGATTGGTGGTGCGGTGGTGATTGCTGGGTTATGAACTCTGACCCGAGATTGATTCCTGGCAGTCGTTAACAGTAGTGACTGATACCTGGACCGGACTTGGGCTCCTCACCCCCTGCTTTTACGAATCCATACTGACATGTGCGGAGAAGCATGGTGGAAACAACCCCCACAACCAACACATGTGGATAGGCCTTCATCCCGTTCTGCGTTTGACAAAGGGTGAAACATTATGGAAGGAAACAGCGAGTCGTTAGTGTGGCATTTGTTTTGGAGTGAATCCAGCAGTATGGGGTTCAGTCTCGTTAGCAATTCACACGGACACCCACACGCAGGGGTGTGGGGACCCTGCCCTTTGGATGTGTGCGAGGAGACGGCGAGGGCCCAACTCCTGTGACCACCAAGGAATTAGTTTTTCCCCGGTTGAGAGTGAGCGGCGGTGACATCGGAAGACTTGCTGCACGCCGAGCTGAATTGTCCAGCCATTTGTGGATCAAATTCCCGGTCCTCCCGTTTCCTCCCACATGTGTAAACCCTCATTAATGTACTGGGGGGGAAAATCTTATTATATAGAGGACTGCAAAGCTTGGGCAATTGTTGGTACCGGCTGCCCGCCTGGCTTCCACCTTCCAGCTTGTTTGGTTCCTCAGCGATTGTAAGTTACATTCTGCATGAGTGGTGTGATGTGAAAGTAAACATAAAGGCATTGATACAATTTACACATTAAATAACCGGTACTTTATTTGAATCCCCCTATCTCTCTGTGCTTGTGCGTATACAAACCTCTCGCGAATCCACTGCGGGATGAGAGCCCTCCCCGCACTGTGCGGGTCTTGGGGGGATTGGGGGATGGCTATTGCACCTTCATGCTGATCAGTGCGTGTTGGTGAAGTGGTGGAGCGTGTACGTTGGACCGAGGTGCATTACAACAATTGATATATTTCCCTCTGCTGCCACGCAGTCGCCTCTAACAACTTTTTTTTATCGCATGGTGGTAATACTCATTTACCACCTGAGGCCGTCACTTGTATTTCCAGCGCGCTCGCATAACGTTGAACGATCGCGTTATGAACTCCAACATGGACGAGCGCGACAGCTGAGGAATGGAAAGGCAGCGAAACGCGTCCGAGCTCCGCGTGGCTATCGATGCGTGCCACTCGACAGACCCTCCGAGTCGTTGCTGTGAAATTGACTGTCACAAGGTCACCGCCACGACTGACACCACCAGCAGCAGCAGCGGCAGAGGCAGAAAACGCCGTGCGGGGAACTTTAGCGAGACCAGCAGCACGAGCAGAGGACGCGGGAACGCCATCAACGGCGTACGCAGCAGTAGATGCAGCAGCAGCAACAGCAGCAACAGGAGGCGTAAAATCATTCGCAGCAACAAGAACAGCAGGAGGAACGGTAGCAGCAGTAAGTGCGGCAGAAGCAGCAGCGAAGAACAGCAACGCCAGTAGTAGAAGCAGGAGCAATATCTGCAGCAGCAAGCACACACACACAGAGCGTGAAGCTGCGTGCGCTTGAGCCGTGTCGCCTTTGCTGGTGTCGCTGACAAATCACCGCTGGAATCGCGATGGAGCGCAACTAACTCGGCTCCATCCTCGCCGCTCGCTACGACCAATTGCCGGATTTTCCGAGGAGCAAAAGTAACTACACATGTAGCAGCTACGGGCCCCGCACTTTCAAGGGCCCCGCGCTAAACGCTTTCAAGCTATCAATTCCGGTTCAGTGATTCTGCACTTGCTCTATTACTATAGTACTATACCGCCTTCAACTTTTATGAACGACTGGGTGTTTAAGGTTAGAGATTTGTCTATTATCTGGCTGTATAGCAAATGAAAAAAAATACTATTACTTTACTATGCGAGTACAAATTTATTTTTTATATTTGTGTTTAAAAAAATAATAATTTTAGGACCCCTTTCTAACATATGCTACAGGTCCTGCACTAGCTTCATCCGGCACTGGCTACGACCCCCCTCACCCAGACCAACCCTCCTCGGCACGTGGCAGAGGCCACGTGAGTGGTTTGACAGCGCCTCCTCTTCTCGCCAGCGGGAATTAAATGACATCACTCGTGAAAATTGCCCCTTCGAATTCTCACCAAAATCATGGCAATTCGCCAAAGCCGCGCGTCGTGTCGATCTTGATGTAGCCGGTCGAGGTGGTTGTGCCGGTGGTGATAGGGGGTGCTGGAGTGTGTGTGTATATGTGGGGAGCGACAGTGTAGCGGTTAGCGCGCTGCGCTATGAACCCGGCGACACCGGTTCGATTCCCGCTCACGGCCAACACCAGTGGCGATTTTCTGAACCGGTCCCGGGCCTCCCCTAGGTCGACTCAGCCTCATTGGCACTGGGGAGACAATGGCGGTCGGGCGTGGTGCTGGCCACCCATCCCCTCGTGTACCGTTACCGGCCTTCAAAGGTGCTCGCTAACAGCATTTGCCCCTACAGTCTGTTAAGGCTATATGGGAGATCTTTTTTTGTATATGACTGTGCGTTGAACTTCTTTCGCACCGTACGTAGCCGACCGTGCCAATCGGAGGTACGATGGCAGTACAACAGGCTAAGCACAAACAAGCAGTTCTTAAGAAATTAGTTTTCAATCTGGATTGTATCGACGAAGTGGCTGCTTAAGGGCGGATTACGCCCGGAGGGAACGTGCAACCGCGGAGACGGAGCGATGGAATCGGCACGTGTGCGGCAGGTTCCAGGTGGATTGTCGCATCGAGGCACGGCGACGGCTTGGGGTGAGGCCTTCATCCAGCAGTGGAGATAGTCCATTGCCGATGGCGATGGTCTACACCAGCGTTCTGCATTGCAAGGCCCGCGGGCCACAAGATGTGAAGACACCACCACCTTGCAGGCGGGGTGGCGGCCAGGCGAGGTAGTTGACATCTGGGCACCACCGAAGCACACCGCCCCGTACCACTCACCGCCGCTCCCAACATACAGAGACAAAGAGACGCACTCACACTACAATTGAAAGAGACGGATTGCATCAGCACCGCGAGGTAAAGCTGCGGGACGTTTATAGTTAAAATCTGTTCTGGCGTGGATGTCTGAGACCACATCAAGAATTCAGGGCTTCGTGTGCCACGGCGCAGTGGATAGCAACGTCGATGTTTGCTTACGCTTGGTAAATCGAAGAGGGATTGCGCTCGTGGGGATATGACCGCTCTTTGATGCTCGGCTGTGAATGATCTCTATCGCTAAAGAAATCCCATGCCTGAGTATTCAGCATATGCATATGCACAGTGCGTTTGCCAATCCACTGCTGGATGAGGGCCTCCCCACGTCTCCCCACATCGTGCGGGTCGACTCGGCATCATCGCTGTAATCTTCAATCGAGCGTAATCGTCACGATCAACCTCATCAATCATTGTCATCTTCTAAACATCATCATCACAATAATCTTTATCCACACGTGTATGTATGTACTAGATGTTGAACTCATTTCGCACCGTACGTAGCCAACCGTGCTAATCGGAGGTGCGGGGGAAGGACAACAAACTAAACACAGTTCTAAAGAAATTCGTTTTCAATTTAGATTTAAAAGTGCACAGCTCCAGTGGCTTCCTAATATCGGAACAGCGTTCCAGACGGCCGCAGGAGCGCGTCTGAAAGCGCGCGACGCAGTGCCCATCTTTGTTCGATGGTTAGCCAAAAGCCGCTGCTGCGAGAATGACCGGAAATGTCTCATCAAAATTATATTTTTTCATCACCATTATCATTTTCGATCATCGCCATCAAACGTTATCGTGACCACCAAACCCCGTTTCTGAAGTGTGGCGAGTTGATGGCCTCATCCCGTGTGACTCCTATGCGATGAGCATTTCTACTGAAGCAGAAGGGCACTGGAGTATGCGTGTCCCGTGGTGTGTGTATGAAATGTCACTTGAGGTTTCAGAAGCACCAGCGTTCTTCATTGCGATGCCCGCGGGCCACTGGCGGCCCCTGGTGGCCTTTAGTGCGGCCCCTGACGCGCGGCCCTCGACAGTACACAAGATGTGAAGACACCACCCCTTGCAGGAGGTGTGGCGGCCCTCACACTGATGTCTTATCGGCGAAATTCCTCCCCCCCACCCCCCTTCCTCTGAAAATCAGTGAAGAACACTGGTCTACACCCACTCATTGCCCACACGTGTCATTTGCAAGTGCACTCATCACACAATGACTCATCACAATTAGCGCCTTAGACAGCACTATGCTGTCAAAACTGATATCCAACTTCCACAGGCCGTTCTCTAACACACACTGGATTGCACCGTTCCGCGAGCTTTCCGAGTGAACACGCATGGCACGACGCCAACAGCACAATTGGAATACAATTGACGGGGGGCGGACTAAAATAAAATAAAATGTCAAATCAAACGTCAAGACTTTTTTTAAAGAACAGAATTACCTTCAGAGACACATAAGACAACTGCGCCGGTGGGAACAGTGGCATATCCGCTGTTGGCATGGGATCTGCTGCAAAGAAGAATTAGCGGGAGGCCACCCCTCCACCTCCTCTCCCCCCTCTAAGTTACATCTCTCTCCGTCTTCGTAACGCGCTGCCTGGGCCGCTCCGGGCTCGCAGTTGCGCTGCCTGCATACTCTCTAGCTACGCCAATGATTCTAGATTTGAAGCTTTCGTGACTGCAAGGATCCATACTCTTTGGTTCTATTCGGTAAAGTCACGTAGGTAAAAAATAAAACAACAAAAATCACGACGTTTCGGCCACAACATGAAGGGCACTTGTGTTGTGGCCGAAACGTCGTGATTTTGTTGTATTTTTTTACCTACGTGACTTTACCGAATAGAACCAAAGATTACGCCAATAAGTTTAGGAGGAGGACAGAGCTGCGACCGCGGGATCGGAGACAGACGACCCCCGGGGGGGGGGGGGTGGGGTCAGATCCCGGTTGACAGTGGACCCGCACCATCGACGCTGATCTCTACCACAGCCTTGGCCTCCACTCAGCGTGGCGGTGAGCGCAGGGGTCAGGGACGCCAAGCGGCGTCTCGTGGGGTCCGCTACGCCCCGAGGGGTTTTGCGCCTCATGATGATGAAGGGGGAGGCAATGTTTGTGTCGCTGTGGCCTGCATGGGGTTTTGTCTAGCCCTCCCACCCACCCCACCTCCTTCACCGCTTCTCCTCCCCGTGTGGAAAACTCCACACGCTGTGCCTTTCTTTAAATTGTTTCCGTCTTCATTAATCTGCTTCCAAATTAATTGCGTCTCTCCTCGGCGGCGATGATGCGCGGTGAATGTAGATGACGCGTGGTTTATTCGGGCGCGCGAATTGTTAAGAACATCGCACCCTTTGCCTCTCTTGCGGAGTTTGTTCCGTTCCGTGCTTCTGGCCTCTCCGACCTCGTTAATGATGAGAAGACTCCGTTAAAAGGGGGCCTCTGTTGGCATTTGAGGCGCAGAGCGGGTCGCTGAACTCTACTTGAATGCCTGAGATCGCTGACCCCTCTCCACTCTGAGAATGGGAACATTGCCTTCAACGTCAATCTAATGCAAATTTGGTTTTGATATTAACCATAATAATGCGAGTCCCTAGCTCTTTGCTGGGTAAAGGCTTAACCGCGCCATTTCAGTCGTGATGCGGGGGGAGGGTGTGTTTTGCCATACTTCACCACGCTGGTCAGTGCAGGCTGGTGAAGGTGGTGCGCCGGACCCCAAACAATGGTTCAGATAATACTCGCCACTGACGCGTTATAGCTTTGGC